AATACCCTTGTCATGAGAAAAAAGGTGAGAGAATTACGATTATATAGACTCTGTCTGAAAGATGCAGAGTTAGTTGCCTGATATGAATATGGACAATAAATTAAAACCGAAATACTATCCAGTAAATGACACTGTTCCTTTATTGTGTGACATTACTAATAAAAAAAACTAAAATGGAATTACAATCTATCCCAGTGCCCAAGTTTTACTTTTATGTTTTGCTCCGATATGTAGCTGATACATTTGTAATTTTACAAAAATTTACCGTTAGAACGTTTTCTCAATTGATTAATACGCATTCTCCACATGTGAATATAAACAATACAAGTGATGAATTATCACTTTTAGACTGTTCAATTAAAAAAGGAATGAAAATTGAAGTGTAACTTAATCAGTCGAACGTAAAACTAACTCAACACATCCACTAGGTACTAAACTTTCACTTACTGGAAAGCCATAAAGCTTGTCACGAATAAAATCAATCGACAAATGGAAGTAAGATATGTATATATAACAGGATCTTCGTAGTAAGATTAAAACGTTGAAGAATGAAACAAAGTATTCGTTTACTTTGTTATTTGTCCTAATATACTATGGCGGGGTTACACAAGTAAAAATACACATTAAACGACGTAGAATAAAGAGATTTAAACAGCAAAATGAGAAGGCGAAGATTATCTGAAACATGTCGTTTTTCTTATTGCTTGATAAATCATGTCTATGTCTATACATCCATTTATTGATTGCTGACTGACTGACCTGAATGCAAAGCTTCTAGGAATTCTCTGATACTCTCTCTCTCTCTCTCTGTCTTTCCTCTCTCCCTCCAAAATCTCGACATTGTCGAAATTCAATTCATGTCTACAGTTGTTATCCATGAGGATTGAAATGAGTAATGAAATGTCGTGACGCTTAATAGTCAATTGGTGCTCATGTAGACGAAGGTGAGGAGGGCGACCACTTTCTCCAATATACTCTGAACTACAGTTATTCCACTTCATTTTGTAAATCATATTCCATGTATCTTCTTTGCTTGTTGCATCCTCTCGTCTGAGTAATAGTGTGTTTGGAGGGAATTTGTTGGTTTAGGAGCCACACCAATTTCAAGCGGTCTCAGTAATCTTGTCGTGATTTCTGATACATTCTTTATGTATGGTAGGACGATGCGTTTGTTGATTTCTGTCGATGACTTTGTAGTTGGTGATGAAGGGGGTAGGCATCCTCTGATAAAGTTTCATGGGTAGCCGTTCTTCCTTAGGGTGGACATCAGGTAATTTTCTCCGTTTCTCCTTGAAGTTGTTGTACTGCAGTGTGTTCTCGCTCTTTTGAATAGAGTCTGCACCCAACTAATTTTGTGTTGTTGGGTTGTTGCTAGTGTAGTTGAGGATTTGGTTAGTGTGTGTTGGCTTCCTGTACACTTGAGTTTCCAGCTTTCCGGCATTTGTTCTGCTAACTAAAGCATCCAGGAATGCTAGTTGGTTGTTTGACTCTTTATCCATTGTGAATTTGATGTCATTGAAAACGTTGTTGATCAAACTGTGGGTGTTTTCTATATCATCCTTTTTGATGATGACAAAAGTGTCGTCTACATAACGAATCCAAATTTTTGGTTTGATCACAGATAGGATCATGGCTTCCAGTCTCTGCATCAATGCTTCTGCTATTAATCCCGATATCGGTGATCCCATTGGAGTTCCTTTCATCTGTTTGTATATCTTGGCGTTGAAATGGAAGTATGTTGTCATACAAAGGTCGATGAGTTCCATCAGACTTGAACATTTGATTTTTGTGAGTTCTGAAAGGTTTTTATCTTCATTGATCAGGAGGGATATCGTTTCCTTGGCCAATTGAGGTTCGATGGATGTATATAGTCCTGTGACATCGAAGGATATCATTAATTTGTCGTTTTCTATGTCAACACTTTTGATCTTTTCTAAGAATTCCGTTGGTGACTTGATGGAATGTTCACATGATCGGACGAGGTGTTTCAGTTTTCTCTACGCAGAATTCTTATCCATTACTCGTAATTCCCTATGATTTCTACTGCCCTCTTACCACATACTACTTATATCGTTTCTCATTAGCAACGCCCACAACAATATAGTTTAAATGAGTAAAAAGATATGTTATGAATTTTTGAGGGAGTTGTGGAGATTTGGAAATATTTCAAGTTGTTATTCATCGTAGACTGACATCGCCAGCTAACAGAAGTTGGAAATATGGACGGTTGGATTCTGACCCAGTGGCTAGCTCAATGGTAACCCGCTGGCAGCGGAACCTGAAGGTCGCGGGTTCGATCCTTGCTGGTGTGGGGTCGTGGGTGCGCACTGCTGAGGAGTCCCATACTACGACGAAACAGCTGTCCAGTGCTCCCAGGTTTCCTTTGTTCCTCCAACTGATGTCAGTCTACGTGAATAACAACTTGAAATATGTTATGAATCTTTGTACTAATTATCACAAATATATATGTGGATATTAAGCAACTATGTTAGTCCCACTATTCTGTCCTTAAGACTAAAATCAGTATAAACGAATCAATTGATTGGATAAGTGTAGAATAATCATCTTTACTAGTAGAATTTTGGCTTATTTCTACGATATATATATATATATATATATATATATATATATATATATATATATATATATATATATATACATGTTGGATTGATTAGTGACATTGGTGAACATGAATAAATCAGCTGACCAAAATGTGTAGAGTTTCATTCACATTGAAATGTGACTACGCGACTTTTTCTAGATAAAACGCTACATGAACTACACTTTTTATTTATGAATCATCAGATTTTTCTAAGTATGTTATCTATTATATGTCTACAAATATGACTACGGTCAACGAAACAACACATTAAGATATTGTGTGGAATCAATGTAAGGTTATCCTAGGAATTAGTGGTGTTGTTGTTGTGGTGGTGTATGATGTTCTGATTTGTGTTAGAGTCGATTCGCTGCGAGTCAAGTTCGTATCATTCATCGTACTACCGGTCATAGTAACTAGTTGCAGCATCTATTTTGCCTATTCTAGTCGTGAAATATTATTGTGTATGAGTACATCTTTTACAATCAAGTAACTGGCTAAGCATCTTCAAAAACTTGACTATTTCTAATGTAAAAACTAACCATACTTTTCGATATATTACCAACATCTGGAAGTAGAACATACATTCAATCAACGACGGTATCATATAAAAAAAATTATACTAAAAACTATACCCGTCGCACAAGAAGTGGCTATCATGGGTCGGTGGTGTAGTGAATAACGCTCTGGCGTTTGAAGTGATCACTCCCCAGTCCGAATCCCGATGGGAACAACATTACTCACCGGGAAGCAGGTACATCCAGCTGATAAGTAACAAATAGGACGAAATACGTATCCTGGATTCCACTGCTAGCCACTATCCATCATTAATACATGCATAACTTTGGATATTTACAATACTGATGGAAATGAAAAATGTAAACTATCTCTTGGTTATGGTTCTAAAATGCCAGGGACTAACAAACAGTTCAGTAGCTTTAATACAACGACTTGAAAAGGATCAGTATGATGTAAATATCCCACTTGAAATTTCCAACATTTGACCAATCTTCAGTGATTTCTCCTCGCTTCTTTAAATGAGAACTCTTCCTTGTATACTCTTACAACTTTCTGTTTGGGCCGAATTTCCACCTCTAAACTACTTTCACTTTTGTGTCCAATTCTACTTTATTCTGTATACTTAACTCCAGATGAGCATCGTGGAAGTACAGCAATCCTTAATCATCAATCACCATTATTATTGTCGTCAGTCCAATAAGACCGATGATGAACACCATACATATACATTAGTTCCTACAAGAAACAACTTTGAACAGCATCATCACCAAAATTTCAAGAACATCCTTCCTAAAATAACCATCATTTCGACTTGTAGAAAACAACAAAAATGTCTTCTTACACGAAAATTATAAAACCTTCTTCGACTGTTTCAATGAAAACAAAAAACAGCAAATTATTATGCGCATCATCCTGGAGAGACTAAAGGATGAGCTGGATTCAAAACTACGACCGGAACAGGCAGGCTTCAGTAAGTAAAAATCATGTGCCTATTAAATTGCAACGCTTCGCATCATCACAGAAAAGAGTATAGAATGGCAGTCAACTGAACTCTACCTCAAACTAATCGACTTTGAAACCGCCTTTGACAGCGTCGACCGAGAAGTAATTTGGAAACTGCTTCAACACTATAAAATACCACAAGCCTTTATCAATCTCACTCAACAACTATATGAAGACATCACATGCCAAGTAATTCACAATGGGAAGCTCAGCTCAGTGATGATGTCTTTGAAGTGAAGACAGGACTAAAACAAGGCCGCCTACTATCACGCATCATATTCCTGATTGTCGTCGACTGGACTGGATCATGCAACAAACAGTGAGAAGTGAGAAGAGGGGGATACACTGGCTGGACCGCGGAAAACATCCTGGAAGATTTGGATTTCGCCACCGATAACTTGTATATAATGTCATACAAACTTGAAGATCTACAGGTGAAAATAACAAGCTAACACAAGAAGCAGGGTAGGGCAGCTAAGACGGGACTTCCTTCAAGTGAACGTAGAGGAAACAAAGGTAGAGGTGATGAAGATACCCAACCAACAACAAGAAGCTCCAATCACCGTCAATGGGAGAAATTTAAACGTATATCAAATAACAGTAATCAAAATAATCATTTCATGAGAAAAAGAAAGTATGAAATCTACCTGTCACATAATTGGAATAAAAATCACCAAATAATTACTCTCGAAGAAGGCAAGAATATAACATGTGTCAGCTGTTTCATACACAGACACACAGATACAGATGAGAATGATCAAATAAAACAATAAACAAGAATCAATCATTTCATATCTAAAAGATATATAAAGCAGGCAATGAGAATAGATTTTTCTCGAGCATAAACGGCCTAAAAATACACCAGTTATTATGAACAAGGCTTAAATGAGTAGAATAGAAAAGGGAAGGCTAGCATAAGAAGTCATTTAGCTAAACACTATACATTTGTAATAGTCATAGTATAATGTTGTCTTCATATTATGCAACAACTGGTTCCAATGATGTATGGCTTACACTATCATCATCATCAATTTTGATAGTATTTTTATACCGTCTACTTGAACCAGATTCATTCAGAATACCAGCACCATATCGTTGATCCCATATCAACAAACCGAATGTAGTTGTTACAGAAATACTCAAACAGAAGGTGAAAAACACCTCAAGAAATACATAACCCTGAAAAAAATACAAAAAACATTAAACGTATACACTGAAATAAGCATAAAAATACAACTTTATCTGGTACAGATTTATATATATATATATATATATATATATATATATATATATATATATATATATATATATAGGTTTATGAACGTCGATTGTTGTACGTAAGCTTCTGAAATTATACGAACCGTTAAACGAAGATGAGTTAACTTTTTATGAAGATAAAAGCGAATTCAGTCAATTAGAGAATCAACATATGACGTAGGGTCAGGTATTATCTTACCAGATAATAAGGCAATGCAATATTGAGAAGTTTTTTAATTCAGTAGCACAGTGTGAGTACGTATACTTAAAGACGAACCAGTTAAGAGCTGTGAGGGATTTGTGTATTATTATTATTATTTGTCCCTTGGGTTCCTAGTGGAACATAGCGCTTCAGTAGTACGCCTTCATTGCACTCTGTTCTCTGAAGTCTTTGGAACGTGGCACCATGACTGCCCACAAGCTTTCATTTTCTCCTCACACAATCTCCTCCATCTCACCCTCTCCTCGGACGCCCAACTCGCCGTTTCGCATTTGGATTCCACTCGAGGGCCTGGCCTGGTCTGACGAGTGATGTCCCCGGTCGGCCTTCTTACTGTATGTCCAACCAATCTCCACTTCCTTCTGCATATTTGTTGGGCAATGGCTTCTTAATTGGTTCGTTACCAGGCCAGAGTTCCTTGTTGCTTATTCTTCCTGACCATCTGATCTTCATTATCGAGGGTAGTCAGCTGTTGATGAATGTCTGTAGTTTGTTGGAAATGCTTTTTGTAACACGCTAAGTTTCTGAACCATCACATAGAACCACTGACTTGACTGATATGAGCGTGAAAAATACGGATCTTGTTCCACATGCTGAGTGTAGTAGATCTCCACACTGATTTCAGATTAATTAAGGATGGCCTGTCTTGCTGTCTTTCCAATCCTGGCTGTCTTGGACATCCTCGTCTGTGTCGCCTGTACTTGAAACGATGCTGCCTACCTAAGTGGGTGGTGGAAGAGACTACTTCCTTTAGGTTTCTCCAGTTGATTGTGATCGGTTCTTGTTGTTGTCGTTGGTTAGGTATCTTCATCACCTCTACCTCTGTCTTCGCTACATTCACTTCAAGTCCCGTGTTCGCTGACCTGCCTCTTCTGTCAACTTGTTACTTTTTGCCTGTACATCTTCGAGTTTTTTGCGACAAGACATTAGACGTAAATCATCATTGTTGGCGAAATCCGTATTTCAGCAACTTTATGACGTTCAGGACTTAACTACCGCTTTTTCGGAGGGCATGTGTTTACTGGTAATTCTGTGCCTGGGCTGCTGGTGGTCGATTCAAGATTTTTAGGTGGTCAGCTCATCGTTTTCTTCGTTTATCCTCTTAGATAACTAGCTTTCCTTCATCATCTTAAATTGATTTCATCTGCATTGATCTCTTCCCAGATAATAACCTAGTTATTTGATATAATGTTGTCAGGTCTCTCCTACCAGTAGCCTGTTCTGCTTCACTTGCCAATGTGTCGCGGAAGTGTCTTTTGTCTTTCCGCGCACTCTTCTTCACTTCTTTGTCCAGTGTTTTGTTCATTGTACTCAGTTATTTTTTCGTTGAGCATCCTTGCACTGGCTCAACTTCTGCTTCACCATCTTCCTCTCATCTATCAGCTTCCATTTGTTCTGGTCCGTGTCCATTCCTTGTCTTCTTTCTTCGTCCTTCCTAACACGATTATGCAGGTTGCCGTCCACATCTCTTTCAAAGAGTTTCAGTGTTCTTCCACGCCTGATCCTTCAGGGATGTTGCTCAATATCTCCCATTTTTTCCTGATGGCCGACTGACGTGAAGGTGTCCTCTGTAATTTCGAACTTCAGTTTCTGTTCTGGGTGTTGAACTTGAACTGTGGTCTATTACCAACTTCTTTGAAGGCTTTTAACTTGATTTGGAAAGTAGGTTCCTTGCACTAGGTAGTGAGTGGTCTGAAGCACCAACATCTGCTCCACTTCTTTGATCTGGTCTTGTGTCCACTAGGCTGACTGCGTCTCCACTTTCTTCCCATTGAGATCAAGTTGATCTGATTTTTAGTGTAGTCTGTCTGGTGAAATCAAACCCATGTTCGCTTTGTGAATATTCTTGTACACAATGCATCTCCTCCAATCACCAAATCGTTGAATGCGCAGAAATCTGTAAACAGTTCTCCATTCTCTTTCATTTCACCGAGCGCTTGTCGACCCATCCTGAGTCCTCTTCCTGTTTTTTCCACTCCTAGTTTGGTATTCATGTCACCCCAATCATTGGAATTTTGATGTCGCCCAACTGGAATGGGATGTTGTCCACTGCTGATCGCAGTTGTCTGTAGAATTCCTCCTTCTCCTCTTGATCTGCATTATTTGTAGGTGCATAGCGTAAAATTGTATGATTGTGACTTTCCTTCCTTTTGATTTGAATCTTGCTATCATGAGCCTGAAGGAGGAGACTGGCTCCCACTGCATGAGAGCCTTCGATGCTCTCAGGGACATCGTGATAGCCACTCCACAACTCAGTGTGCTCATGGTTGTCGTCTGGGTGACAATATCGGAGTAGATTATTGACTCTCCACTTAAGAGTTTGGAGACTCCACTCCCATTCCATCTGCTTTTGCAGATCCCTAGCACTTCTATGCTATAACTTTCGATGTCTTTGGCAATCTGGGCAGCCTTGCCAACCAGCTTCAAACATTGTTCGAACATTTCATGTCTCCATGTTTACTTTCACTTTCATCGAGAGTGAGAAGACACATCGGCCAATTGGCTTCATGAAGACTTTCACCAACCGGCATCATTTCGTCTCCCCGATTCCAGAGAGGAATAAGTTTATTTTTATTTTCTATATTTTCTTTGTGCTTTGAAGTTTCTTTAGTGATTGGATTGGTTTTAGGGGGTAGGGTTGCTAGCCGTACGCCCAACCTTCCCTCTTTATCCAGGTTTAAAACCTGCTAGTAACTAGGGTACTAGTTAACCAGGTGACGGATTGTCGTAGAGATTTATTAACAATTCAGACAGAAAAAATCAGAGTGGAACCTTCATACAGAAGTGCATCGGTTCAAGTTACCACGCTTCATATGAGCTTACAATTTTTAACAGAGGCATTCATGAAAAACGCATATACTTTGAAGTTCATCAAACGTTATAAAAACGTCTCAACTTTGCGAAGTAATCAGTATTCTGTCCTGAAGAAGGATGTTTACATCACACTACCGTATTATAAGGGGTAATTAAACAGTATGATCTTAAGATGAACACTTAATTCAGTTATTAAAAAGGCATACTACTCAACCAAGCTTAATATTATCGCGAAAACGAAATTTATGCTTCAAAATTAACCTCATGACTTCGTCAATGATTACATCGCATCCCATTGTGTATACCAATTTACATATGTGTGCGGTGACACATACATTGGGAGGAGTAATCGAGCTATAAAGTCAAGGGTGATGGCTAGAAAAACAATTACATTCAAACAATCTGATAAATACAGGGGGTAGACAGACATCATCGTCGATTGGTAACACACATCATAGAAACAGGTCACAGGATTGACCTCGAAACAACTTTCGACCATTGTATAGGAGCAGTCAAGACCATATACTTGGGTTCGTTGAAACCTTAGCTATAAGGAAGTTCGAACCCTCTTTGTGTTTTGAAAAACAGTCTGTTCTAACCTGAAACCTACCTTGTTAATCTTTATCTCGTTTTAATGCCAAGGAAGGTGTAAAAATGTATTATCCCTTCTTTTTTTATCCCCATATTTTTCAAATCTTGTATTATCTTAATTTACTTATTTTACCCCCACCCTATTCCTATTTTCATCCTCTGTGTAAAATGCTTTGACAAGTTAATGCTTGATCAGATTTTTCGAAATGTATTGGGCGAATAAACTGCACATTTCTCAAATAACCTCCGTCTTCTTATTAAACCATGTAAAAAACCAATGGTCAAAAGGAAAACAATCATATCAAAATGAAAATGTTCAGACATTAGAAGACGTAAAACGGTGAATACAACTGCGCCTTTGTATCCCATTTTCACAAATATCGCCAACTATCGACTGATAGCCTCTTGATGACCCAAGATAAGTAGAGTTTACACTTTCATACACAGATTACACCAATAGTTAGACACTTCATCAACTCATACCACATCTTCATCCGACCACCGTAAGTCTTCTTTTAACCTAATCCAACTTCGGTTAATATTGTATATCAAAGTATGCAGTGATTTGGCATACCTACATCTCTTGCCTACTAATCATATTCACTTAACCTTAACATTCCCCATATGATTATTTCACTATACGTTCGAAATCTTCAAACCTTTATTAGCCACACTTGTTTGATGATCTACAATGCTATGGCGTTGTACAAGGTGAAATAGAAAGAGTGAACCATATTCACACAACATTATGTAATCTTATTTCGATGATATATCTTTGTAAACCAGTTAGTTACAAACACTGAAATTGGCAAATCCAACTGTTACAATATGAAAACAAACTAATACAACGCAGAATTAGTTGAGTGAATGACACAATATACTGGAACAGTGAGTGAATGTAACCACTGGATTTAAGAATAAAACGAATTCAACAATGAGGTAAAAAAACAACAACAACTGAATCTCAGTATGAATAAACGAATTGTGAGAATAGTAATGATGCATAGTGGCTAGCAGTGAAATCCAGAATGCACATTTCGTCCTATTTGCGACTAGTCAGCTGAATGCACCTGCCTACCAGTGAGTGATGTTGTTCCCACCGGGATTCAGACTCGGAAGTGATCTGTTCAAATGCGAGAATTACTACATGTATCCTTTTATTTTTAATCGAATCATACAGTCATAATTCTCACTGACAGCTGTATTGCATACTTAAATCATATAAAAATGAATGGGTAATGATCATTTATTTTATATCATCGAAGATGGATTGGGCATACACTGAGAAGATCATTCG